ACACACACACACACACACACACACACACACACATCCTATACATGTATTTGCATATACTTATGTCATATATGCACACACACAATTATGTATTGTATGCATATATATCCAGATATATACAACACACACACAGTGGAGTATTATTCGGCCATAAAAGGGAGGATACCCTGCCATTTGTGACAATGCAGATAAGCCTGGAGGACATTATGCTAAGTGAAATAAACCAGACAGAAAGATATATACTGCATAATCTCACCTAATGGAATCTAAGCTGAACTCATGGATGCAGAGTGTAGCATGGTGGCTATCGGGGGCTGGGGATGAGAGAATTTAGGAAATATTGCTCCAAGGGTACAAACTCTCAGTTTTGGGATGAGTAATTCTGGGATCTAATATGCAGCAGGTGACGTTAGTTAATGATACTATATTGTGGCTGGGCACAGTGGCTCACGCCGTAATCCCAACACTTTGGGAGGCCAAGGTGGGCAGATCATCTGAGGTCAGGAGTTTGAGAGCAGCCTGTCCACCATGGTGAAACCCCATCTCTACCAAAAATGCAGAAATTAGCCTGGAGTGGTGGCGGGTGCCTGTAATCCCAGCTAATTGGGAGGCTGAGGCAGGAGAATCACTTGAACCTGGCAGTTGGAGTTTGCAGTGAGCCGAGATTGCGCCACTGTACTCTAGCCTGGGCGACAGAGTGAGACTCCGTCTGAAAAAAAAAAAAAATACTATATTGTATATTTACAATGTGCTAAGAGTAGATTTTAAGTGTTTTCACCACATACACAAAAGGTAACTATGTGAAGTGATGGAGGTGGTAATTCACCTGGTCATGCCAAGCACTGCAGGAAGTCCGTATATATAATTTTACATTCTTTCCAAGCATTTTTTCCCATCTTTTTGCTGCCAGTTTTCTGGTACCCTGAGCTTAGTCTCCTGGCTTGCTTTCCTGCCCTCTCCCACCCCATCTCCTCTCACCTGAGGTTGGCAGTGGGGATCCTGAGAATCTCTGTCTCAGCCCGGGTCCTGACCTTCTCTCTGGGTTTGTTACATCCACCGCACGAAGGACCACAGTTGTGGGGTGGGGCGAGGGAGCGGGGGGGCACAGTGAAGCACACACCTGAGAGTGCCCCAGAGCTGTTCACTCATTCATCCCCTTAGTGGGGAGCTGAAGAGTGTTCAGGCCCAAAGATGGTGCTTCTCATGTTTGGGGCATGGCCACTTCACCCCATATGTAGGCACCAGGCTTGGGCGCATCTAGTAATAGGCACATCCTCCAGCCAAAACTATGCCAGACCCGCAGGACCATTTGGCTCGTCTTGTGGGTCAGCCTCTCTTCAGCTAAGCTGCTGTTCTGTTTCCAGTCTGACCCCACTTCACCGAAATAGCTTCTCTATTCACCAGTGACCACCATGTCTGACCCTGCATCCAACGGCA